GGTTGCAGGCCATGACCCCCAGCAACCGCACATTGATGTTTCTCTCTCTCTCTCTCCCTCCCTTCCCTCTCTAAAAATAAATAAAATCTTTTTAAAAAAAAAAAGAATGGAAGGGCAGATAAAGTGCTTCTCAGATAAGGTCAAGTTAAAGGAGTTCATCATCACCAAGCCCTTATTATATGAAATGTTAAAAGGACTTATCTGAGAAATTGAAGAAGATCAAAAACTACGAACAGTAAAATGACAAGAAACTCACAACTATTAACAACTGAACCTAAAAACAACAACAAAAACTAAGCAAACAATTAGAACAGGAACAGAATCAGAGAAATGGACATGGAGGGTTTTCAGTGGGAGGGGCAGGGGAGGAATGAAGGAAAGTTACAGGGAATAAGAAGCATAATCAGTAGGCATAAAATGGATGGGGAGAAGTTAAGAGTGGTATAGGAAACAGAAGTCAAAGAACTTATATGTACAACCCATGGACATGAACTCAGGGGTGGGGGAATGCTGGAGGGTTGGGGGGTGCAGGGTGGAGGGGGCATCAAGGAGGAAAGTTGGGAAAGCTGTAATAGCATAATCAATAAAATATGCTTAAAAAAAGATGTAAATCGGGTGTCCACCCTGCAGGCCATGGGCTGCCTGTGACCCCAGATGACTATGAATGTGGCCCAATACAAAATCATAAATTTATTTAAAACATGGTGAGATTTTTTGTGATTATGTGTTGTAATGTCAGGTAAAATAAATGTACATATGCTCTTGCTATTTGTATGTATGTGTGGCTTCAGTTTTACAGTCGTGTGCGGCTTCCAGTGTGTTATCTTCCAAGTGCAGACAGTATGATTGACACCAGCAGACATTACATGTGCTTGTGGTGATTTAGTGAGGCAGTGATTATAAATAATATTCCAACCTACCATTTCAACGTTAGGTGATTGATGTTATTTAGAAGTCAGGTAAGCATTCTTATTTGATTATTAAAGGTACTTCCACACTTCAGTGGTGCCTCACTGCCACACTTCACAATCAGCCCTCTGCCTCACCCCGGCAACCAAGGGAGCTGTGGAAAGGCCGAAATCTTTCTTTGTCTTTTCCTGTCAATTAATTTTCATAAAATCCATTATCTATTATTATTTTTTAAATCCCAGCATGGCTTCTACAACATCTCAAAAGGAAACAGAATCCCCAAAAAGAAAAGTTATGAGTGAAGGAAGATTGTTCAACAAAAAGTGCACATATGACTACTTTTTTGTTGAGCCAAACAGTAAAGCATTCTGCTTAATTTGTAGGGAATTTTGTACAAGTTTTCAAAGAGTATGATTTGAAAAGGCATTATATGCAAAAAAGAAAACAAACCATGCTGCCCAATTCAATGGGTAGGAAGGATTCGGTGTGTCATAAGGACAAAGTAGCAGAACTGGAAAAAATATCTCTTCTCAACAAAATTTTTTTCAGAACATTACAGCTCGGGAGGATTCCATTGTGAAAACCAGTTATGTGGTATCATATTTAATAACAAAAAATCAAAACCATTTACTGATGGTGAGTATATTAAGCAATGTACAGAAAGCATGGCAGATATAATTTGTCCTGAAAAAAAGGGGGATATTTGTCAAATCAGTTTGTCTCAGCTGACTATAGCCAGGCAAACTGAAGAAATTTTAATGTCTATTGAAAGAAGTTTGGGGAGTAAAGCTGCTAATTTTAAATTTTATGCTTTGGTGATGGATGATAACACTGATGCTACAGATATGGCTCAACTGGCCAATTTTTTTAGAGGCATTAATGACTAATATAATGTCACTGAAGCAATAACTTCTTTAGTGCTATTAAAAGACCCAACTAAATCAAGAGATTTATATGAAGTAAAAGCTATGTTAAAGTGATTTTCTTTGTCTGTTGTCAACATGTCTGATATATTTACTGATGCTGCCTTAACGATGGGGCTTGTACAGTTAATAGAAGACAGTACAATTGCTGCTCAAAAGTCACATTTGACGAAGTATTATTGCATAATACGTCTTGAAAATTTATGCATAAAAGCTTTAAAACTGGATAATATTATGCAAACCATCATCAAGACTGTGAATTTCATAAAAGCCAAGGGACTGAATCATCACCAACTCCAGGAATTCCTTAAAAGTATTGATGCTGACTTAGGTGACATCATTTATTTTTTGGAAGTAAGATGGCTAAGTAGAGGCCAAATGTTGAAAAGATTTTATCATTTACAAAATGTTATCAAGTCATTTATGGTATCAAAAAACAAATTTGTGGACTTCCAGCCAAGATGGAGGTGTAGGTAGACATACTGTGCCTCCTCACATGACCAAAAGAAGGACAACAATTTAAAAACAAAAAACAACCAGAATGGACAGAAACTCGAACTATATTAAAATCTGACAACCAAGGAGTTAAAAAAGACACACTCATCCAGTCCTGTAGGAGGGGCAGAGAAGGACACATGGAGAGGACTCGTGGCAAAGTGGCGGTGGAGGACCAGGGTGGGCAAGGCAGTAGCTGGCACACTCAGCACCAGAGTGTGGAGTGGGATGCGCAAGGCTGCAGCTGGCCGGCAAGACTGTGGCAGCAGCTGTGGAACAGGTGATCCCACATTTTCGTGCAGATAAACTGAGAGGAACATTTGGGGAATGAGACACACCATGCAACCCAGGGTCCCAGTGTGGGGAAATAAATCCTCAAACCACTGATTGAAAACACCTGTGGAGGTTGAGGCAGTGGGATAAACTCCCAGCCTCACAGGAGAGTTCGCTGGAGAGACCCAAGGGTCCTAGAACATACACAAACCCACCCACATGGAAATCAGCACCAGAAGGGCCCAATTTGCTTGTGGGAATTGGGGGAAGTAACTGAAAGCTGGCAGAGAGTGGAGCAAGTGCCATTGTTCCTTCTCGGACTCCTACCCCACAAACAGCATCACAAACCAGCGATGTGGGTTGCCTGGCCCTGGTGAATACCTGAGGCTTCGCCCCTCACTATGTATGGCATGTCAAGACAAAAAAAAATGGCCCAAATGAAAGAACAGATGAAAGCTCCAGAAAAAATACAACTAGGCGATGAAGAGATAGCTAACCTATCAGATGCACAGTTCAAAATACTGGTAATCAGGATGCTCACAGAACTGGTTGAATTTGGTCACAAATTAGATTAAAAAATGAAGGCTATGCTAAGTGAAATAAAGGAAAACGTACAGGAAACCAATAGTGATGGGAAGGAAACTGGGACTCATATCAACAGTGTGGACCAGAAGGAAGAAAGAAACATCCAACCAGAAAAGAATGAAGAAACAAGAATTCAAAAACATGAGGAGAGGCTTAGGAACCTCCAGGACATCTTTAAACATTCCAACGTCGAAATTATAGGGGTACCAGAAGGGGTAGAAGAAAAGCAACAGATTGAACATGTATTTGAACAAATAATAAAGGAGAACTTCCCCAAGCTAGCAAAGGAAATAGACTTCCAGGAAATCCAGGAAGCTCAGAGAGTCCCAAAGAAGTTGGACCCAAGAAGAAACACACCAAGGCACATCATAATTACATTAGCCAAGGTAAAAATGAAGGAGAGAATCCTAGAAGCAGCAAGAGATAAGGGGACAGTAACCTACAAAGGAGTTCCCATCAGAATGTCAGCTGATTTCTCAAGGAAGACCTTGCAGGCAAGAAGGGGCTGGAAAGAAGTATTCCAAGTCATGAAAGGCAAGGACCTACATCCCAGATTGCTCTATCCAGCAAAGCTTTCATTTAGAATGGAAGGGCAGATAAAGTGCTTCTCAGATAAGGTCAAGTTAAAGGAGTTCATCATCACCAAGCCCTTATTTTATGAAATGTTAAAAGGACTTATCTAAGAAAAGAAGATTAAAAAAACATGTATAGTAAAAGGACAGCAAACTCACAATTATTAGCTACCACACCTAAAGCAAAACCAAAAGAAACTAAGCAAACAACTAGAACAGGAACAGAACCACGGAAATGGAGATCACATGGAGGGTTAGCAACAGGGGAATGGAAGGAGGAGAGAGGGGGAAAAGGTACAGAGAATAAGTAGCATAGTTTGTAGGTTGAAAATAGACAGGGGGAGGGTAAGAATAGTATGGGAAATGTAGAAGCTAAAGAACTTATAAGTATGACACATGGACATGACTAAAGGGGGGGATGTGGGTGGGAGAGGGTGTACAGGGTGGAGGGGAGTGAAAGGGGAAACGGGACAACTGTAATAGCATAATCAATAAAATATATTAAAAATAAAAAAGATGTTTGAGAATTGAGGTTTGACTATACTCTGTCCTTTTTCCCCATTCCTAATTCCTATTCCCAGAGAGAACCACTTTTTAATCATTAATTTATTGGTTTTACTCTATTTTTCTAAATCATATGTTTATTCTGCTATTATTTGACACTTTAAAAATTAGTGATTTTTTTTTACTGTGGAAAATAAGAATTTAACTCAGCACTGCCAATGTCTCTGATACACTTAACTCTCACACACAAACTTTCTACTCCTTCCTTAAAATATAAATTATGTTACCATTTTGGTTAAATGCCCATTTAGTTGCCATTTTGGTTAAATTCTTATGTAGTTGGTACTTAAATGTTTCTCTTTAAATGTTTCAGCACACTAAAATACCTTAGGTTTTTGCCAGTTTTATAATTTTCTTGGTTATATGCTTTTATGAAGCTGGCTAGCTCCATGTGAACTGTTTATTGTCTGTTACAGAGCTGTGGATAAATTCATGGGACGTCTCCTATTCCTTCCCATTCCTTCACATCTCCTCTTCCACATTTGCTCTCCTATTCATTTTCACTTAAGCTCCACATGATCACACCAGTCATCCTTGTAGTTATTAGCACCTCTGTGTTATGAATATTGTTGGTCTTTCTGATGGACCCAAATCATTTTGTTAGTGTTAATCTGTTGGGAGTGTGTGTTTCTGAAACCACAAACAAGCCTGGCCTAATGGCTTTTATTTTCTTCTCCAGCTCTGCCTTCTCAGGCTCTGCCCATTCCCAGAAAGAAGAGGAAATGACTGAGTCCCAGGTAAAATTTAAATACTATATTTTTTCCTTGCCTTATTCTACAGTGTAGTTTAACAGGACTGCAGTAATCCATGCAGTAAATTGGAAAATATTACATAGATACATATTTTCAGAGGAAATGGAGTTAGAAGATTAAAACCAGGAAAGAGTTAATATGTGGTTATGTAGAAAACCAGTCATTCAGAGACATTAAAGTTGGGCTTCAATTTTGAGTTTCATTATTATAGGTAAAGCAAACTAGACCAGAAATTCATGACATAATTTTCATTGTACATAAGGATGAAAATGAACATTTCTTAGCAGAAGTAAACTTTTCATTGGCACCTAGGTCAATGAAGACATTATTGTATGACTTCTTGTAGTTGATAAATACAGCTTTTTTGATGGTTTGTTTTGATCAATGATAAAATGAAGAATATATGTTAAAATAGCTTAGCATTGGAAAGAACACAGATGAAGATTATCAGAAAAAGGGATAAATTATAGTATTGTATGTAATAGAAGACTACATAACAATAAAACAAATAGCAGATTACTGCTTCTCACAAAAACATGATAAATCTCACAAAAATATGGAGTAGGAGAAGCCAGGAATAAAAGTGTGTGTGTGTGTGTTAGTTATAAAAATAATGTATAGCTGAACTCAGTTTATTTTTTTGTTCTTTGAAAAAAATTACAGGTAATAACAACCTTTGAAAAATGTAACTGGAAGAAGGAATCCTCAATTTCACACAAATATTGCTACTGCTTCGTGTACCTGGTGATGTTAAATTACATAATATCAAATTAGGATGCATGTTTATTTTTCCCCCCATTTCAATATGGACTAAATGATTCCTATGATAATTAAGGACTGCTTTTGGAAGAGTGCCAGAAATTTTTCCAGAAATCTAATTTTTGCCAATAATGTCCTCTAAGTTTCTGAATTTAAACTCTCCACTGACTTAGTTGATTAAATAATTCATCCTCTGGACATAACTGGAAACCTTTCCATCTCCCCCACTCAATGCCTGCTCTCCATCCTCTCTCCTTCAATTCCCACACTTAATGCAGCCAGATTGGATTTTTGGTATCTGTCTGGAGGAAGTAGCAAAGATATGTGGCTTGAAGTGGACTGAGCCTAAGGTACAGTCCTAAAATATTCCTGATACCCTTCAAACATAGATTCTTCTATCTTTAAGAAGCCAATGATATTTAGAAAATCCCTGAGTGAATGAAGGTCACAAAGAGAGATAACTGAAAGCTGTAATTAAACTTGATCTTTTAAAAAACATTTCAGATATACTTACTGTTTAGGGAGTAAGACTTACAGATTGTGCCAGTATTCTACTTTTTTTTTTATTAGTGTGTATAAAACCCCTTATGTAGCTAACTCTATCTACCATCTTTTGTCCTGTGGCTCATGGCCTCAATTAAATTTGGACATCCCATTTTCACCTCAGATACAACGTAGGTACAGCTTAAACAGCCATTTTTTTTCTCTCTCAAATTCATGATCCTGAACCTACTGAACTAAAATCTTCAACTTTAACGCACAGGCATCTCCCTTTTCAAGGGGATTGTAAACTTTGTGGGACGAGACCATAATTTAGACATTTAAAAATCCTGATACTTTACAAGAAAATATTCAGTAAATATTTGTCAATGGAAAAATCAAAAATAGTTAAATATGTAATTTAACAACATAGAAAATTGACCAAATTTGCACAGTTTGATTATCTGGGTGTTTTAAAACACTCTGATTTCTGTAATACGGATGACGTTTTGTAAATCCTAACCACAGCTAACGAAATTTTCTTCTGTTTCCCCTGCCCAAGGAGATATATCAGGAAAAATATTGCTACCAGAAATTTCCAAGATTTTACTGCTTGTTTTCTCCTAGGATTTTTATGGTTTTGAGTCTAACATTTGTTTTTAATCCATTTTGAGTTTTCTTTTGTGGTGTATGGTATAGGAAGGTGGTCTCATTTCTTTTTTTCTTTTTAATGTATCTGTCCAATTTATCCAACACTATTTATTGAATAGAATACGTTTGCCCTGTTGTGTGTTTGCCTTTTCTTTTTGCCAAATATTAACCGACCATAAAGGAGTGGGTTTATTTCTGGGTTCTCAATACTGTTCCATCTGTATGTCCTTTTTCATGCCAGTACCATGCTGTTTTGATTACTTTAGTTTTATTTCAGGGAGTATGATTGAAAAGTTTAAAATTAATCTTTTAGTTTGATTTTAGTGTGATTCCTTCAACTTTCTTCTTCTTTCTCAAGATTGCCCTCATTATTTGGGGTCCTTTGTGGTACCATATAGAATTTTGGAATATTTGTTCTAATTTTGTGAAACATGCTATTGGTATCTTCATAGTAATTGTGATGAATCCATACATTGCTTTGGATAGTATGGACATTTTAAGAATACTAATACTTTCTGTTCATGAACATGGTATATGCCTCTACTTACTTGTATATTCTTTTATTTCTTTTATTCAGTATCTTATAATTTTCCAATTACATGTCTTTATGTCCATTGTCAAATTTACCTTATTCCTAGGTATGTTATTCATTATGAAGCAATTGTGAATGGGATTGTTTTCTTAATTTCCCTTTCTGAGAGTTTATTATTGGTATATAAAAGTGAAACTGATTTCCTCCATGGAACTGTGCTTTGCAAGAGTATCCAGAGCCTGGCAAGGGTGATTCAGAAAGTCTGGTAGGGTGGTGGTAGTGCTTGCACTCTGTAGGAAGGAGGAATGGGCACTTCCTCTCCTTCCTGTGGCAACACAGGCTGAACTCGCTATGAAAGCCCACTGTGCCTCCCTGCAATGCAGCTGCAGAGCCCAGTGAATGGCCATATGACTCCAGGAATGAAGGCTGCCTGTGAAATAGTCTCAGAAACCCAGCTCTGTGTGGCTCGCTGGCACCTTTTGGCAACTCAACCAAGCAGAATGGGATCCAAAATAAATCAATCTCGCTTGGAACTACAGTCTGTCCACACACCACCAGTGACTGCAGGGTGGGGTTGAGGCTCCCAGCTCTACTCTGCCTCCAAATGGGCCAAATGTCCCATTTTCTCATGCCATCCAACCAAGCAGAAAGGGCCCAAATTTCCAGCCCAGCACATCACTCCCTCTCTTTGGAAGACTAAGCTCAGGACATGGTGGACCAAGTGATTCAGTGGGTGGGGGAGGGGCAGCACCTGTGTGCTCAGTGTGGGCGAGACAGCCCTCTTCCTCGAGCCTCACAGGTTACACTCTGATCTGCTATCTGCCCAAAGTTCTTCCAGACAACAGAGGGCCACATAAAGTCACTGCTGCTTGTACCCAGTGGACCCTTTCTTTAGCCCTAAAGTGCCATGTGACCCCTCCAGTAGTCACAGATCTGAGCAAACTTCCCAACCTAGTTTTGTAACAATGAGCTCACTTCTTTGCTGGAATGGTGCACTTCAAGTCTCCCAAATGGATTGAATCCCTACTGATTCCCACCACCTGGTGCTACACAGGTTTCCCTTCCCCTCTCTTGTTGCTCTTGACTAGGGCCCCTGTATGGGGCTAGGACCACACACTCCCATGGGGAAGAAGTTCTGCTGCTGCAGTATTCCTCTGCTTTCACATTTGCCACACATGCACAAGGTAGCTTACCCTACCTATCCTTCTGCCTTCCCATCTTCCTCTGTGCTCCTGTTTATAAAATTTTAGATCAGCTATACTTCAACTGGTTTTTCAGCTTGATTGCTCTGCAGTTAAGCTGCAAATTTGAACCATACCTGCGAGAAAACTTATGAAAGTTCCAGCTACTTGCAGCCTTCTTGGGATCTAGGTCCTTGCTTTTTATCAGTTTGAATTTACATGCTGTTTCTGGCCTGAAATGTTTCTGTTGAGAAATCAGCTGACAGTCTTATGGGAGCTTTCTTACAGGTAGCTGTTTTTGTCTTGTGGCTTTGAAAATTCTCTTTGCTATTTTAATTATGATTTGTCTTGGTGTGGGTCTTTTGGGATTCATCCTGTTTGGGACCTTCTGCACTTCCTGGACTTGTGTGTCTTTTTCTTTTCTAGGTTAGGGAAGTTTGCAGTCATTATTTCTTCAAATAGGTTCTTGATTCCTTGCTGTCTCTCTCTTCTTTTTCTGGTACCCCTATCATGTGGATTTTGTTATACTTCATAATGTCCCAAAGACCTCTTAAACTATACTCATTCTTTGTAATTGTTTTTTTTTCTTTTTTGCTGCTCTGATTAAATGTTTGTTTTTTTACCTTGTGTTCCAAGTCAATGATTGATCTTCTGCTTCATCTGACCTACTGTTTGTTTCTTCCATTGTACTCTTGATATCAGATATTGTATACTTCATTTCTGATGGGCCCTTTTTAGTGGTTTCTATGTTCTTTTACATAATGTTTTCTTTAAATTCCTTGAGCGTCTTTTATTTTATTTTAATTTTTAACATTTTTTAAATTGTTGTTCAAGTACAGTTTTCTGCCTTTCATCCACACCCCAGCTCTCCCCACCTCCCTCCCCTGTTTCCACTCCCCTTGTTAGTGTCCATATGTCCTTTATAATTGTTCCTGTAAACCCTTCACCCTTTTCCCCCATTATCCTCTCTCTTTTACCCTCTCCCCTCTGGTCATTGTTGGCCTGTTTTCAATTTCAATGTCTTTGGTTATATTGTTGTTCATTTTGTTGATTAGGTTCCTGTTAAAGGTGAGATCATATGGTATTTGTATTTCACCACCTCGCTTATTTCACTTAGCATAGAGCTCTCCAGCTCCATCCAAGCTGTTGCAAAGGGTAGGAGCTCCTTCTTTCTTTCTGCTGCATAGAGTTCCATTGTGTAAGTTTTTTGATCCATTCGTTTACTGATGGGCACTTAGGTTGCTTCCAGCATTTGGCGATTGTAAATGGTGCTGCTATGACCATTGGGGTGCATAGGTTCTTATGGATTGTGGTTGCAGGATTCCTTGGAATATACTCCTAGCAGTGGAATTGCCAGGTGAAAAGGTAGTTCCATTTTTAGTTTTCTGAGGAAATTCCATACTGTTTTCCATAGTGGTTGCATCAGTCTGCAGTCCCACCAACAGTGCACTAGGGTTCCCTTTTCTGCACATCCTCTCCAACACTTGTTGTTTGTTGCTTTGTTTATGATGGCCATTCTCAATGGTGTGAAGTGGTATCTCATTATGGTTTTAAATGCATCTCTCTGATGGCTAGCAATGCTAAGCATCTTTTCATATGTCTCCAGACCCTGTGTATGTCCTCCTTGGAAAAGTGTCTCTTCAAGTCCTTTGCCCATTTTTTAATTGTTTTTTTTTTGTTTTTTTTGTTTGTTTTCCTAGAGTAGAGTCATGTGAGTTCTTTATATATTTTGGATATCAAACCCTTGTCTGAGGTATCACTGGCAAATATGTTTTCCCATATGGTTGGTTCTCTTTTCATTTTAATACTGCTTTCTTTATCCGTGCAGAAGACTTTTGTTTTGATAAGATCCCATTTGTTTATTCTTTCCTTTATGTCCCTTGCTCTAGTGGACATATCAGTGAAAATATTGCTGCATGGAATATCTGAGAATTTCCTGCCTATTTTGTCCTCTGGGACTTTAATGGTGTCATGACTTACATTTAAGTCTTTTATCCACCTTGAATTTGTTTTTGTGTATAGTGTAAGTTGGTGCTCGAGTTTCAGTTTTGTGCATGTAGCTGTCTAGCTCTCCCAACACCATTTGTTGAAGAGGCTATTTTAACTCCATTTTATGCTGCTGCCCCCTTTGTCAAATATGA